ACTTAAAAGCAATATAATTGGAACACTGATCATCTATTTTCCAAATCCTAATGCGCAAAATCTCAAAACACAAAGCGATCAAAGGACATATAATCATCGTTTCAACGAGCTTAACAAAAAAATTCATGAGACATGGCAATTGGCAACACGATTCAGCTTCCACCCTTCTAAAATCGTCTCTTTAAGGTAATTCAACGTATTTCTACGCTAAACAAGCAATTATCAACATTTCGCCGGAAGCCAACTGCAGCAAAACCAACGAACGAATGACTCGACTCGATTCAATCATCAAAACAACAAGTCCCGGACACCCCCAAGCCACGCTAATCAAAGTCAGGACTCCAAATTCAGATCAGCAAACGTAACAAGCAAATTGACCAGCAGATAATCACCAAACGAGACACCAGATACGTAATAAACAGGATTTCTTACGAATGCCAACCTTCTCAAACAAGTAGCCGTTCCCGAAACTGCTCGCTCCCCAGTGCCTCCTCAACACAGCCCGCCGCCAAAGAATCGATCGAATTCGAAGCCTAACCCAACACGGAACAGAGGGAAAAGTAAGAGGATCGCCGACCAACCCAGAATCGCGACCGACATGAAGAGAGGAATCAACATCGTCGGAGGAGGGAGGGGGGATTTCTTTTCACCCGGAACGACCGGTTGGAATCACAAATTGAACACGGAACAGAGAAACCTTACCCGCACCAGAAGGGCCTGTCGCGAGCGAAGGGGCGAGAGGAGAGGAGGCGAGGCGAGGGCCACGATCGCGAGGCCGGAGCGAGCGAGCGAGTGGACTGGAGAAGAACAGAGCAAAATCGAGGAGGAGGACGAAGGAACTCAACAGGGGCGGCAATATCAAAACGAAGGAGTAGGGTTTTATCGGACCGGTTCCGGTTCGGCCCGGTTCCGCGTTGGAACCGGCCTAGCAAGTCCGGTTTCGATGATTTAGAACCGGTAACCGGACCGGATTCCAGGGCCGGTTCGGTCCGGTTCTCGGGTAAGAACCGGAAACGGTATGCGCAGCCCTAACCGCCACATTCATTCTGGTTGTTTCAATTCTTTGCGGAGTTCTCGATCTTTCGAAATTGGGATAACGACACAAACAGTCCCTGAACTTTGACCCAATATACAATTTGGTCCCTGAACTTTTAATTTGTTTAATGTAGTCCCTGAACTTTAGCTTAATGTTCAATTTGGTCCTTGAACTTTTAATTTGTTCAATGTGGTCCCTGAACTTTTAGCACATGTTCAATTTAGTCCCTGAACTATATGAAAATGTTCAATGTAGTCCTTGCACTTGAATTAATAGAAGGACTACATTGAACATTTTCAAATAGTTCAGGGACTAAATTGAACACATACTAAAAGTTCAGGGACCACGTTGAACAAATTAAAAGTTCAGGGACCAAATTGAATATCAGGCTAAAGTTCAGGGACTACATTGAATAAATTAAAAGTTCAGGGACCAAATTGCACATTGGGTCAAAGTTCAGGGACTGTTTGTGTCATTTTCCCTTCGAAATTCTCGATATTGAATTAATTAAGTTGTCCTCAGAAAGTTCGGTTTAAGTGCTCGTGGGAGAATGCGTCTTGTGAATTTAAGGAAATTGCATTTTGCCTTGGACTTTCGAAATTTGTGATTTGGTCCCTTTGCTTTTCCGATTTTTTATGCAATGTACACCCTGATCTTTTGACATTCTTTGTAATGATTCCCGAGTTTCTGCATTAGTTATATCAAAATAAATTGATGAAAATTAAGGAGAATGAAAAAGGAAACAAATTATGGGAGTGAGAGAGAGAGAGAAGGGGAGGGTGGTGTTGGTGACTGTGGCCACTCCTACCACCACCGCTTGTGGCCAAGGTCGATGGCTGCTATAGTCGGCAAATTGGTGCGAGTGAGAGAGAGGTTTGCTATGAGCAGGAGAAGATTGGCTTTTGTTGGGGTGGCGTGAATTCGATCGAAGTTGAAATGCTTAAGTGAATTGTATGCCAAGATCGACTCGGATATGCAAAAAAAGATTGAAATCGAGATGGTCGCCGTCGGGGGCGACCACAATGCCCTTCCCCCCCTCGCCGTGGTAACAACCGCCATCACCGTCGCCACCCTGCTCCTCAAGCCCCTGCCCCATCCCCTTCTCTTTCTAAACCTAGTTTGTTTAGTTCTCTGTTTACTGTTCATGTCGAGAAACAGTCGATGGCAATGCAATTCTAGACATTTGGCAGGACATTGCAAGATTCGTAAAATATCAGAGCATGAAATCTAAAAACTTCAAAAACTTAGAGGGCAAATTGTAATCTTCTCATCAAATTTGCTCTCCAATTGGAATTGATTTGTCGGGATATTATACCCTTGATTTATCTTTATGTAATAATCATCACATCACACCTCACATGGCACTTAGAAGAAGTGAAAATTTCAAAACTCAAATGCAAAAATTGATAAGACCTAACCCATTGTTTAGGCTTATTCACGCTTTCTAAGTTGGGTGGGTTTCGCTTGAGTCCAATTAGGCCGAACCGTGCCTCGAAATTATCCATCCTTGTCGAGGCCCACACCAGTTAGTCTTTGGACCCAATTAGCCTAAGTTGGCCACTTCGCCGCTCAAACCATGATTAGGGCCAACTGAAATTCTTGTCACGTAGACAAGGCATCAAAGTAAATTTCTCCCCTAACACAAGGTCACTTGGGCAAACCATCCGATCTAATCTAACCGGGAGATAAATGATAAAACCACTCTAATTTCTACCTCGGGCAAAACCTATTTCCGGTTTCCAACTTCTACTCACAATACATGGAAACTAAATTGGCACCGAAAAAAAAGGTTTAGAACTATATTGGCACAAATACAATTTTGTGTAAGACATTTGTTACACTTTTCCCCACAATACTCTATAAAAAAAAATGTGAGAATTTGCAAATTTTAAAAATTTACATATACATATCAACATTTGCACGTTACAAAAAATTTCGAGTATTTCGCATTATATACAAACCCCCCCCCCCCCAAAAAAAAACTTTGCATCAAAATTTGTAAAGATAACTCCATATGGACCTATGGTTCTTTCCACCTTTTCCAATAAATTCTTGTCGGTAATAAAAATATTTTTTATTGACTAATTATTTAAATGATACAGATAATTATTTTTAGATCAATGTTTATTTTCAGTTCATAAAATATATTTTCTGTTAATCGATTAATTTTTTGCCGTTCACGTGCTAGACGATCGGAAAAATAATTTCTTCAAAACAGTCTTCATTAGTTTTAACGGAACAAGGAGAGCTAAAGGGCGATTTTTGGACGTGGAAAGGCGAGATTCCTCTTTAAGGGGAACAACCGATGGAAAAATATTTCAGGTGGGACCCGTTGACTGCGGTTGACTTTGACCAGTTCGAAGCAAAACGCACAAGCTTACTACGCGACCGCGCCATAGAGAGAATCACTTGTTTTGCTACCGCTCGCGAAACTTGTCTTGACATTATTTTATTTTTTTTGCTATTAAAAAGGCGATTTATCTTTTATTTGTAAATGACAATTTATTGAATGGCTGATTAACTCCAAATTAGTGACAGCTACTCCACTCTTTGGACGCCACGTGTCCGACAAGCCTTATCTGGAGAGATTCTAAAGTCGTCCCATTTTCCCTCTCTCTCTCCTCCGTTTAAGTCTCCGTTACTCTTTCTCTCTCCCTCCCTTCTCCCATTACCTCATTTGGTCTGCATTTTATCACTACGGTTTTTGAGAAATGAGAAGTGAAGAGCGAAGAAGAAGAAGAAGAAGATAAACACAACCAATAAATCAGCGAAATGGGGATGCAAAATCGGATTAAGATATCAATTCGAATGCGAGATATGAAAATTTTGGTTCTATATTTTGTGAAGACGATCTTAACTCTACTTGAGCTTATAGTACATCCGCGTGATAGAGAATTACTTGTTTTGCCACTGCTCATCAAACTTGTTATGCCTTTACTTTTTTTTGTTGTTGATAAAATGATGATTTATTTTTTATTTGTAAATGACGATTTATTGAATGACTGATTATTTCATATCAACGACGCTTGCTCCACTCTTTGGACGCCACATGTCCAACAAGGCCCACTTGTTCGGGGAGATTTTAAAGTCCCATCATTTTCTCTCTCCCCCTCCGTTTAAGTCTCCTGCTCTCTCTCCCTCCCTTCCTTCTCCCTCCCTTCCTTCTCCCATTACCTCATTTGGTCTCCTCTCTGTCACTAGGGTTTTGAGAAATGAGAAGTGAAGAGCGAAGAAGAAGAAGAAGAAGAAGCTGCTGATGCTATCATACAAAGGAAAAGCAGGCAAAGAAATCAAGGAAGATAAATACAGCCGATACATTAGTGAAATGGAGATGCAAAATCGGGTTAAGATGTCGATTCAAACACCAGGTCTGAAAATTTTGGTCATGCATTCTCTATTTTGTGAAGACAATCTTAACTCTGCTTTTCACGAAGTCAGAGAGAGAGTTGCTTTGCAATGATGAAATAAAGAAAAAAGGCAGGATTGCTAACGAGATAGAAGATCAAAATATGTAAAGGGAGAGGGGAGGAAGCGACAGAGCGTAACGGGGACCGGTAATGGAGGGGACCTTGAAATCTCCTGTATTCTATCGGACACGTGACGTCCAATGATTGGAGCGCTCGTTGTAGCCTGTCGGACACGTGACGTCCAATGATTGGAGCGCTCGTTCGTCCACGTGGAGTGCCTGGCCTACTCAATATTTTTCAATTAATCGATTTGATTAAAGTTCGATTAATGGCTTGAAATGCTAAACAAAAAAGGTCGACCCACAAGATTAAAGTAGAAAAAGAGAATGAAAAAGACAGTAGTTGAACACTCCAGTCCACTGCAACAGGGGGAGTTTCATTTTCCCCTCTTGTTTTTTTTATATGTGCTTTGCTTGCATCACAGGGAGGATTCAAACTCGGAAGAGGGAGCGAAGAGGAGCGTCCCTCCCTTTTGATCGCCGCCGCCGCCGCCGTCTTCGCTCGGAATCGCAATGGCTGGGTAAGCGAACTTGGGCTTCGTTCGCCGATGAGGTTCCCTGGCTGATGAGCGTTGACTCTGCAAAAGACCGTGCTTTACGTGCGATCGAGGAAAAAAAAAAAACTGTTTTTTTGGGTGCGTTTTGTGCGAAAGTTTCGACCTTTTTGAAAGATTGGCCTCCTTTCTGCGATTTGGAAGACGAGGGAACTGATGGGTATCGATTTATTTGCCGAGGGATGATGAATTCCCTGCGCTCGAGCGACCCCCTTTTTCTTGTTTTCCTGGCCAAAAAGAACGGGAAAAAAAAGTTGCTTGATGCGCAGTTCTCACGGTTTGAGCTCCGTGTTACTTGGAATATGGGGGAAATGGAACTTGATTATACGGTGCATACGGAGTGTCGCTTGTGACTCTGTGGTCATGGGTTTAAAGTAGTGTTTTTTGCCTCAGATAGATCAGCTAGGTTTTTAGTCTAGAGCCTGCACCATGTTTGATTTTAAATGCGGTTATTATGCTCAGCGTGAAATGCAATCCAGATGCCTGATCATTCAGATAAGTTTGGTCCGATGACCTAGCCTTAGGCTCAGTTGATGAATGGATGAGTTGTGCGATCCATGTACTGGTTCTTTTCTCTCTAACGACATCGTTTGGACTTGTTTGTGTCTTCTGTATTCGGATCACCCATGTGGTATTTACTCCTTTAGTTACGCATTCGTTGCAGTCCATTTTTTTCATGATTAATTGGGCACGTCTCTTGATGAGAAGGTGCCTTATTAGGGAAATGGCTGCTCCGGCAAAGTGATGTGCCTTTGGAAGGACTCTGGGTCTGACCTTAACATTCTTGTCTGTGTGTTCAATAATGCTTTGCATTGCATTCCTTATGTATTACCTTGGCTCTGTCCGATAGAAACAGTCGAGGCATTTGTATATGGATGGTTGCCTTTTGTTTGACATTTCCCATAAGATTATTTTGTTCGTTGGTTCCCATATGATGCACTTTTTTCCATTTAAATCCTGATTTTTAATACGACCAACCGAAGACATAGTTTGCAGATTGCAAGAGATATCTGAATAATAGTCATTTGCGAAATAGTACGAACTATTTCTGAAAGTGTTTGTTCCCATGAAAAACAAAATTTATGCTTTTAACACTAGCTAGAAGATTGATATCTATATAAAAAATTACCTGTCGCTACTTTACAAACTTTTGGCATATTGATATTATCTTATCCTGTCAAACTTTCCATAAGCTTTTAAGAAAGAATGTCACAACTCATAAATGGACAGTGGGTTCATAGCAATTGTAGGCTTGTAGCCATACCTTTAAAGAGAACAATTGTCTTAGCAAACCTGATGCCATCAGTTGCTTGAGTTGTGATTTTGAATAAGCTAGCATATATATTGATTTTAGGGAGACAGGGCATAGATTTTGTTGGTCCTACAGCTTTGAATCGAATTACGTCTTGCTTGAGGAATATTATATCACATCCTTGTCATTCCATGTCTATCTTTCCTTTTTAGCAGTTTCTTTCAAGCATCTTTTTCATTGTTTGGTTCTCAAGATTTCCTTGTATAAGATCATATGGTGATGTTCATTCATTTTATTTGGGGCTAACTCTAGCTAACCTCTAGTGCGGTGTGCTCAGAAGATTGACCGTACTTCTTGTCGTAACATGTGCAGACCATCCTGGCTGGTGGACAGTCATAGAATTGCAACAAAAATCAGGAGCGCTTCTGGTGCTTCTGATCCTGAGAAAGTAAAATGGAAAAGCAATCCAACCAGAGCCTGTCCAAAATGCCAACATATCATTGATAACAGTGATGTATGTTGCTCCCGTCTTGCTCATTACTGTCTCCTTAAGTTCTGCTTTTAAGCTAGCAAATGTATGAAGTGGTGGACAGTTTTCTGTCAATATCTGTTTCGATAGTCAGCAATCAGTTCAGATAGGCCAGTAAACTGATTTTGCAGAATTTGGCTAAATAAGTGAGCAGATGATGTTTTAAGAGCTTGAGATCTTTTTCTTCCTCCCCTTTGTTCATCCCCTTCTCTTTGAATCCTCTCTTTGCATATCTCCAGTAGGCTTCTTTTTATTTGTACTTGATCTCTGAACTCTTTATCACACCTTTTAAATATCTTAGAAGCTCGCCTTTTTATGCAAGTCATTCTTTAGATTATAGGTTCTCTGTTAGATTGATACAATATAAATAATGTCCTGCACTCATCAATAAGTTTGTTATTTTGTAGCTCTTAGCTAGCTTTCTTTTCTCCACTCTTAGGATTTTTTTCTGGGTCCATCGAATTTGTCATTTGCTTCTTCTACTCTTTTATGGTTTGCTAAGTTGTTTGGTGTCCATATACCAATTAAATTAGCTGTGGCTTATCTTTCTATTGCATTTGGGAGGTTTTCCTTTTCATAATTGAGTATATGGTATCTCCATGTTTATGTGAGTGCAGGACATCTGCCCTGTCGAATGCATCTCTTATTGAGTTTTTTGAATCACATGCACTTATGATCTCATTTGAGTTAATTTGCCATGGTGGTGGGTACTATATATAGGGACCATGCCTGACTTCAGAGTTTGACAAATTTCTTTTGCTCGAAGACTCATCAATGCATGACTTAGGGTGTGATATGCCCTAAAATTTTTCTCTTGACATTAGACACACTTGAAAGATGTAAACATGGACTTGTTTCAATTGTTTTGCTTTGGGTTTATAAGGTCGCATTCACTTCCCTTTAGCTGATAGCGTCTTGAAGTAAGTTAAATATGACAAAAACCTTTTATATTTGGTAGCCTCGACTTCTGACATCTATTTATATCTTTTGCTTGCCTACTTGAAGTGATATTGTTTTTCTCATGATTTCTAAAGTTTTTTTTTTTTAAATCTTTAAAGCTATTGTCAGCAAAAGTGTTATCCTATGTTCTTTATTAAAGTGAAACTTCTATATGCGAACTCATCTGGGCTTTTGCAATCTCTCCTTCTCCAGGTTGCACAGGAGTGGCCAGGATTACCCAGGGGTGTGAAGTTTGATCCATCTGACTCAGAAATTATGTATCATTTGCTTGCAAAGGCTGGGTTAGAAGGTTTGAGATCCCATTCTTTTATCAATGAGTTTATACCTACCGTTGATGAAGATGATGGGATCTGTTATACGCATCCTCAGAATTTACCAGGTGAGCAAAATATTCTACTACTTGTTGTGGGGATAGTTCTTGTACTTGATCTGAGCTTAAGTGCATCCCACAGGTGTTAAACAAGATGGAAGTGTAGCTCACTTTTTCCACCGGGCCATTAAGGCTTACAATACTGGGACTAGAAAGCGTCGAAAGATTCTTGGTGATGATTTTGGTGATGTTCGTTGGCATAAGACGGGCAATACTAAACCAGTGATGGTTGATGGCGTTCAAAAGGGGTGGAAAAAGATTATGGTTTTGTACACGAATCTGGTCAGGGGAGGAAAATCTGAAAAGGCTAATTGGAAGATGCACCAGTATCACCTAGGAACTGAAGAGGATGAGAAGGATGGGGAGTTTGTAATATCTAAAATTTTCTATAATCATCAGCCGCAACAGCTCGAACAAGGTGAAAATAATGAACAAAATAATCGGGAAAGAGTTGATGCTACAACAGTAAAAGTAGATCCAGTCACTCCAAAGTCTGTGACCCCTGACCCACCTCATACGGAGAGGCGATCTTGTGATTCTGATCAGGTTCAGGATTCTGCTTGTGGAGGCCCCCTTGCTCAGGTAAAACTACTATTTCTCTGCTGTTGCAAGCTGCATCAACTATCGTCTTTCTATGTATCTATAGAAATTGAACATACACATTCCCAGCTTGCTATTTTACTGATCCATATTTTCCTGTTGTAATTATTTTAGGATATTTGAGAACATTCTCAAAGGCTACATCTTTACTCATTAACTTAACGAAAGAGTACATAGATGGCTCTATTTATAGAGCATGAGAGATACTGAAAAAATCGTAATTTGTTTATTTATGACCACAATTGACTATTATCTATAGATATATTTCAACACTTGTGGCCTCCTTTTCTTTAATACTTAATTTGGATAATATCAAAAAGTGCATAATCTAGTAAGATAGTGCTAAAACGGTTGATTAATGCGAAAATGACGTCATGTTCGTGCAATTTCATCATGATTAAGGGGTTATCACTTATCAGTAGAGTTTTTATTCCCCTTTTGCTGACATACATGTTTGAATTAAAATTTGGATTATTCATTCTTTTCTGCCTTTGCTGCTTGCAATGAAAGCACGTTGAGATGCAGTGTGCGGATCCTGATGGTCAACTGGAAATAGAAAATCCCCAGCATCATGAGCAAACCTTACAAAATTCTGCTCCGCAAATGACAGTAGAGAATGACCACCAGCCTGAGGAAGACGGAAAATGGTGGGATAGTGAGTCACAGAATCTACTGGATTCGCAACAGCTTGTGGAGGGAATGTCCTTATGTGACGAGTTTCTTCAATCTCAATCTCCTAATAGAGATGGAGACATGAACCACCATGTGGAGTCGAAAAAAAAACCCCTTCTTTCTGATTATGCTAAATTAGGACCTGATGACTTGAAGAAGGATCTGGAGGAGTGCCACAATCTGGCAATTGATCCAGCAAATATTGAGCTTGATACCCCTCCTGATTTTCGATTGAGCCAGCTGGTACAAACCCTTTTTCTATTGCTGCCTCTTTATTTCCTCAAGTAATGTACAATTTTCAATTTGCTTGCTCTCCATGTTCTTTTTAGGAATTTGGATCACAGGATAGCTTTGTTGCTTGGGGCGGGAGCAAGGTGGTTGACTAGATCGGATTGAGGCAGTTTTTTGATGTCAGGTTCATGTAAAATTGGCCCCCATCACCTCCTAATTCGTACTTTGTAACTGTGCATTTATTAGAAACTTGAGTTGTAAGTAATGGCGACGCAGTTTTTGTTTCTATGTCCTCTGAACTAAAACTCTTCTGACATTGGTGAACATGCAAATGTTGTAAGACATGTTTGATAAAAGTATATGAAGCTTATTTCCTAACTGTTGCCAGAAACTAACAACAGATTTATTTCTGGGTGGTTCCTTGTTTCTTCAATTTCTTGTTTGATCTCAAATAAATTGTGTAGAAATATGTGCTTCGATTTTACCTTTCACAACTTGGAATGTCTGAATGGAAATTCTCATTCTAGCCTCTAGGTAGGATTGGGGTCATAATTGGGTTGTGTTTGTTGTCTAAATCCGTGGGCATGGCAGGGCAACCTCTTTGTGCCTCCTCTTCCCTACTGTAGAAGGTGATCATGAGAGATTTGAATCGAATTTTTGCAAAATGAGTTTGATTCTTAGAGGATGTAGACCGATCGAATCTTCTCCTGTCCTACAATACCTTTGGGACATTCGGTACTCTGTCCACTTTCTTCTTTTGAACTTGTTAATATCTACGCACATCTGTATTCCGATGTCCGATTCCCGAAAATGGCTATTTGTTGAGAGACGGTTGATGAATATCTCGTATAGTTACGTGCATCCAAATTACCTAACTCCTCGTGGTTGTCGGCGTCTGTCGATGCTGAATGCAACTATAAAATCTTCACGGATAGAGTTGCGCCAATGAGAGTTATGCGTTTAGTTATCTGGCTTACAGATTATGACATTCAGCAAGAAATTGCTTGAGAAGAACCTCTAATGAATTGCCCCACCTTTTCTGGAGGGCCAGGATGCTTATGGGAAGCTCCCTTAAAATAACCCACAGACACAAGCTAGATGGCTATGCGTGATTGTAGGGAAGTGCCTAAGCTGGACTTGTTGGTTTGTTTGGGTTCAGTGTTTTCTTGGCAAAGACATGAACAATGTTGGGACATGCTGTGTTGTTAAAGAGGCCATGGTTCTGAGTTACCGATGAATCTGACGAGCCTCTCTCTCTTTATGCCATAGCTGTTGAAAACAGACAAAATTGGGACAATCAATGGTTGAGCTGTCGAATGTTATGTCGCGTATAGGTAAAGCGTTTGTAGCCTGATTTTTCAGTCAAGCTCAACCTCGACGAAAGCCGCTGCGAAATCACATTGACATGATTGAAAATAGCTGTCCATACAATGTACTCAAGTGCTGGGGAAAGTTGTGGCAAAGGACTGAAACTGAACTTCAATTGCACTCTGGCCACAAGGGAAAAAAGAAAGAACTTTAATTGCACATTGCTGCCATATTTTCATAAAAAAAAAATTTGTTGGATTGCACTTAACTATCCTCTGGTTTGAGCTGATCCTAAGTTTCACCCAATATTCTTTTTCCTTTGCCGTCACTACGCATGAAAAGGGTTAAAGAAGGAAAGGTGATATGGTTCATCTACTTCTGCTGGACAACAAGATAAACTAGGATGATACTTCTCAGTGGAGAGAATAATTGCTTGCAGACCAATGCGGAGGAGTTCTCTTGGCAAATAGATATGTAATGCACGGGGGTTGATGTCGACACAAGAGCAGGCATCGTGATCGGAGCGCCGACAATGACTATCCATCGCCATCCGTTGAAACATCATTACGAAATATGCACAATGAATCCTAACATGATAAAGACACGACGCACTAAATTCCTAAGATTACTTCACGACCCTTTAATGTTAGTCTTGGATCAAACTGTTTCACGTGCTAAACATTAACCCGTGATGTTATTGATGTAAAAAAAACATGAAGAGCTTGCACGAGCTCTGTGAATACTCGTGCGTGACAGACATTATCGGGGGAGGTGTGGTGATGATGACGAGGATGAAAGGAGGAGGAGGAGGAGGAAAAGTGCCAAACGAAAAGAAACCAGTCACATGGTGGGGAGAGAGAGCACACGTGGGCTTGATAAAGGCCTGTCAAAGCTTTGACCAATCACGTTCATCTTTGTCCTTGTTCTCTCTCTCTCTCTCTCTCTCTGGTGTTGCCGACAGGAGAATATTAGATGAGATGAGAGCCCCATTCAGCTTCAGCTTCTGTTTCTGTTGACCTCTCTTCACCACTCTCTCTCTCTGACCCACAGTTGAGATACCCAACTGTTCTCTCTCTCTCTCTCAGTATCCAGAACATAGGACGAACACTATATATTTGCATTGCCAAAAGGAAAAGAATCATATTAGTCTTTATGCAATCAACTTTTGAGAGTTTTGAGTAAACATCAATACTTTTGACTTACGAGTTGCCAGCGAAAGGAAAACTTGAACTCTTGGACTTTTTTTTTTTTCAAGAAACATATTCACGGGTAATTTTACTCCAAATATCCCGAATCAAAGTAAGACCGTGAAGAGCATGTAATAGAAAATCTTGATTAATATCGATGTAGGGTTGTTGGTCAGAGATTTTGCTTACATATCTTCCTCAAATATAAGGATGACAAAAAGGGACAGATAAGAAAAAAACGACTTTATTCGTGCTTTATTTTGCCTTTGGCCAGTGCACTTCCTTTTTGCTCGCTCGTGCGAGTCCGTGGGAACAAACAAATTTGGACGCTATTGCCTGCTACTGGATGGATAACTACGACCATACGCGTGGCATAAGCACTGAGGAAAAATAACTATCATTATCACAAACGTCTAAAGTTTGATCAACCCACTAACCTCCGGTTGTTATTGACTGATCATAAGAAAAGAAATCCCATGATTGGCTGAAGGAAAAACTAATTAGGCATAGGATTCTGGATGCAGTATGTCTTTAAATGTCGTTTGGTAGAGGACAACACTATCAAGATTTACAGATTACAGGGATTATATTATGCCCTTTTTATGCTGAGATGTAGTAGGAATGACAAAAATCCATTTCAGATGACAACTGCCCACAGAAGGCCAGCCGAGGTAGGTATAACTTGGAAATAACAGTTCATCACGGGAGGTATTATCACCGGACCATAGGTTGAGGAATTTTATCATTGCAGAAGACATTACTTGGAAATTAGAAGATATGCTCTTCACATTCATTTCCAAGAAAAGAAGAAGAGCATTGATACACTCTCGGAATTGCTGGACCGAAGTCAGAGCCAAACACTCTCAATGGTCCGGCTCTAATTTTGATTAAACACCAAGGGCATAGTAATCGTGCGAGGGAATCGGGGTGCTTTTTCGGCTCGAAGAGACGGACTCCATAGCAATTTCCCAGAAGAAGAAGAACAAATGATTACACTTGATTTTAGGTAATGGTGTTTCCATATATATATACATACACACGGCTGGGGGGCACAAGGACCTCTTACTCTTAGCATGCTAAGTGCCTAAGCCACTCTTTGGATTTGCATAAAAGAAAGATTGATTTGGGCTTGGAACTTGGGAGTCAATTGGAGATTAGTCCAAAGACCAACGCCAAATAATTTGGCACTTTTAATGATTATTTGGGCCTTCACAGTAGTAAAACAGATTGAGATACACCCCTCTTTTTGCAGAATCTTTCTTGTCCAAATAAGATCACTTTTGGCTGATCATTCACTCATACCCTTTACGATGAAGCTCAATTATAGCATGGAAAGCACCAAAAAGAGACAAAACAAAATGATGGACAAAATGTAGGACTCCGTTTACTGATGCTGATCAAAAGATGATGGAGGAAGAACTTGGAAAGTCAAGGGCACTTGAAGATTCAAAAAGTTCAGAAATAAAGGCCAGTGCTCAGCTAGAACATTAGGCAAAGATTGCCCTAAAAGACCAAGGAAAGTGAATATCCAAATTGTGGAACTCTCCACGTGTCCATGTTTATCAGTGCTACGCAGTTTTGACCTATGAGCATATGGTCAATTCACACTTTGTAGAGGGAAAAAGCTGTAGAAACCATATACCAGTAGAAGAATGAGTATGAACAATGATTGGAAGTGGAAAAAATACGAGAGAATTATAAGAGCTTTTCGATTAAGCTGAAGTTATCCGATTTACATATGTAGCCGATTAGGAAAAGTGGTACAAAACTTGCTAAGTCTTTCCTTCAAAAATATCATCATCGTCATCGCCATTGCCGTCGCCGCCCTGCCGCTATGTACACTCCACCAAAAAAATTTGGAAAAGAAGAAAAAAAGAAGATAAAAAATCCTCTGATTCCCCCTAAAAACTAAGACTTTTCTTTAGTCATGCCAACAAAGGAGCATGACCACACATCTCCGGATGATGTAGAGCTTGGCCTTCTGTTCTCTGAGAGCCCCACCAAGCCCTCTGCTTGATAGCCTCCTCTTGGAGCTTCCAATGCTTGGGCTGCTCAGCATCTTCATTTTTGTGCTAACTTCACGGAAGAAGAAGAACAAGATTGATGATTTCTTGAGAGAGAGACTTGCAAGGTGTGTATTTGAGGCTGGTGAGTCTGGGCGATTGAGTCATTGGGTTCTTATAGGAGGCGGAGGGTCGTGGTCCCTACCCACACTGGTCTAGTAAAGAGCCAACTATGGGGCATGAAAGGGCGTGCACTTGTCCCCTAACCCACCGGACAAGCCCCATCTGGGTCCACAACCCCAACACCATGCAAAACCCATTAAAAAAATCAATCCCAAACAAGACCTAACGTGATCGGTATTGGTATGGTCATGCACATACTTTTTGTATCTTTTGATCACTCGGTGTTGTAGGCACTACCCACCAGCATATTGGGTCGGCCACTGTTTCACTATACCTTAGAAAAATCCCATCTTTTTTATCAATCATCAGTTGCATTCAATATGGGGTATAATAGGGGGTGATGATAATGCAACCTTGTGTCTTCATGTGCCTGGACTAGACTCTCTTTTTTTCTATTTCCAGTTTGTGTCACATCCTTTGTTGTTGAATTGAATCCACCCAAACAGGCAATATGGGGTCATCATCACAATCAGTTGGATCCTACACAACACTGCACACATGTTCCACCTCTATTGCTTGCAAGCTTGGGGAGGACAATAATGAGGCTCACCTTGTGAAGCATTTGACTAATCCTAGAGAGGGAAAATCAGAAAAAAGAATTGACATGTGGGGACATTGAGTTGCATTATGTGAAACAGCTAGGTAAGAGATAACGTTATTCTAATCCACAGGACCGTAATCCGGAAATTATTGCATGTTCTAGGTCATGATAGAAGGAACCAATCAAACCATCCGTATTTTTTGAGACCCCCTCAACACAACTTGGCTACTCCTATGGACGGTGTACTTATTAATCAATTGAAAATACTGTTGTGTATGGCAATGTCGCTAAACATGTAGCGAACACATGTAATATTTTTATGGTGAAACCATAGCTCTCTGTCCCTTGGCTACATTTCTTCCACTGACCATCCATTCTAAAACAATTCCACACCCCTCAGAATTAAGAACAAAGGTTTTCCCATAAACGGGTTAATCCGCATGCTCCGAATCGTATAGTCAATGAGGACTGTACATAAACTAGGAAGATGTGACAGAAACATATGTCGTATTTCCATTTGATAATTTGTTTCGGATTTCTCACGCGAATCAAATAGTTTGATGCGCCTCATAGGAAACAGCTACTTCCCATGGTCAAAGAAGTGGAAATCAAGATTTTGACCTGCCTTTTTTCCATCAAATTGAGCCGTCCCTAAATATACACCTTTTCATGTAAAGAGCTCAAAGCCCAATCAGTCAGTGTTTGAGTTTACAAATGGGAATATGAAATAATTTGTTAACAAGATCAATGCAGAGAGAGAGAGAGAGAGAGAGAGAGAGAGCCACTTGCTTGGTCTCGTGTTCCACCCACTTTCAATCAGGACAATCTCTGCAGTGAGCCTTATTAAACTAAGCGCAGCTGCAAATTTTATACTGATTTTCTCTGAACAAAACTAATCTGTCAATCTCGGTTTGAGTATCAGTGCTCAGAAACTTTGTTGCTTCTTCCATCCTTTCTCCTCTGTACTTTCAGAGTGAGACATGAAGATTCTCTCTTTCGGTGTCTGTCAAGTCTCAAACTCATGGTACATACCTTGAAGATGTCCGCTGTTCGTAGAATCTTGAAGTCATTAATGCTGGGGTAACTGTTTTTGTTTTCCTTCAACTTTGGAGTCCATACTCATGAGTTCTGGACCAAGAAATAATGTTTTCACCACCGTGTCCATTCTCATGAGCATTGCCAAACTCAATATTTTCATATCAGTTCATCTTTTTGCGTGAAAAATTGTGACCCAACTTAAGGGAAGATGGGAATTCAACATACCCAAAAAAGCTTTGAGGATTGAACCATCACTGTGTGAACAAAGCTTTAACAAATTAATCTCCATGATCAGACTGTCCCAGGTTTATTTTGAAGTGTTCTATGCTGGGCTCTGATGTACTGTCTGTACATAAAAAAATGGGCTTGTTGTACTCCACAGGTCAGAGTTGCACGTGAAGTTCTCGTGATTCACAATGCCATTGCCTCTTCCAGACTCAACATTATATTACACTTTATAACTCATTTCAAGGTTTGAATCACATTGTTTATTACTACTCCATCAAAACACTTGTTTTGGCAGTACATTAATGATAAAGCCTTCTTGATCTCTTCAATCTTCCAACGGCCAATGACTTGGCATGGAGGTGAGCTACACGAATTATTCCATATGCATAACAACGGTGCAATAGTACGGCTTGACCAGTAATACAGTTGTATCCTTACGTGCACATCAGATATTTGACAAGTATGATCCGAAAGGAAACTCGTATGAAGGTCATTTAAATGTTAAGTATGAAAATAAATACTGTATTGTTGCCACACCAACATATGCGAAAAATATATTCGTTCGTCGTTCTGTTAACTAGACAGCCATCAAGGTAATCGTTGGTTTATGATAAAGTAAACGAGTTGAGTTATTAATAAGCGACCCTTGAGCCTTGGAGATCCTCAATGTGCCACATTTATGTGGCAAACCAGTGCTGTGGTTTACAAAAAGCATTATATGGACTTGAGTTATGAATAAGCGATCCTTGAGCCTTAGAGACCACGACAAAGAAAATTTAGAATTTCAGCCATTTGATGGTGGTGTTCTTAGAAGCATTTGGGTTAAACCTAAAAGAAGCTGGCAAAAGTGGGATGTGAAATAGCTAATAGAACATGTTAGACAAGAAACACTTGATTGTATTTGATATCATTATCAACTTTATAACACTCTGAAGAACCAGAAGACATGAATTCAGAGTACCCCAGTTTTCTAATAAGCAAAAATTAACTACATCTATTTCTTTTCAACTTAGAGCATCACTCTATTCCTTTGATATAGTTACGATGGCTAGACAAAATTTACATGAAGATTAGAAAAGGTGTGCATATATTTACAAACTTCATTCCTCCCTAGGGATCCACCGGCTCCACCAGAGGCTCTTTCGGCGCTGGTTGAGCTCATCCATGCTCTCATTTAATGTTCTTAATATCTTCCTTTGGAGACGGAGAGCTGAGGCTAGAGCATTTCTTGGAGCAGTTGCCTTCTGTTTAGGTGCCATTTCCTGCACAAAATAAGTACCCCAAGGTCTTAAAGAAAGATTCCCACGATTCATGGGAGGATGAAATAGAGCTGTACAATGTGCAAGAGTGTTCTGATCAAATTATACCATTACCCCTTTTGTCTTCAAAACTACTTGGCCTTCTGTAAACTTATTTTCTTCTTTCTTTAATCAAGTTATCAATGAAATGAGCTATCACGCTTACAAGTAGCTTAGTAGTATACCTCTGCGTCCAAAAAGCAGAGAAAAAGTGGAAAAGAAAGACCTTTGGCAATGGGTGAATAGTGAGTTCTTTGAATGGAGGAGTGTCCTCAGTGTAATTTAGAAGTGAAAAACTACAGTTGCGCGGAATAGTTTAGATACTGACTCTAAGCTCCTGAAGCTGAGCTTCTGTGAAACCACCATCCTGCTCTGTCCCTGACTTAGCCATCAGCCGAATTACCCATTTGGCAGCCTCCTCATAATCCTGTTGCGTGGCTCGAAAGAGCTGCAACCTCAGTTTCTGCATGAAGGATAAAACCAACAATCCTTCTCTATCGAAGTATGGATGAGCTAATGCTGCCTTTGCACTAGTTCTTCGCCGAGGTTTGAAGCGAACCATTGATGTGAGAAGTTCCCATCCTATTCCACCATCTAAATCTAACAGCTCAAACCCCCGCCTTAGATCGGGGCTGGCGCGGGGTTCTAAGCTTCTTCTCCATGCGACCAGATCGTAGTCACACCTTTTGAGCTGCCGGTTGAATTGTATGAGACTACTATCGGTCCTCAATGATGGAAACGCCTGTATGGAGAGCAGGCTGTCTTGAGTTAATGTAGCTTATTGCATGTAACAAACCATATTTATAGCATAGTAGAAGGAGACAAATCTACAGGAGTTTTAGCTTTGTCCCTGTTACATCTTAAACTACATGCAAGTGATGTGCAGTTCTGGCGTAAAAAATCTAGTGTCCTACTATGACCAATTTATTTAGCCATCTCTCAAGTCTTCAATAATATACCTACCTTAGTTTATTCCTGGATTAACTGGGTGGTGTTGTAATTAGATGATACCTACACAAGATTTTCCAACGTTACACCTTGACTTCAGGGTTTGAAGTATCAGCTTTTTGAATGTCTACCATTGACAAAGCACATAACATACCCGCTGAATTTGTGATATATAGCCATGTCATCATACTCCCTCGAGATGATTTTGCATGCAAAATCTCATGACCTTACTGAAAAACGAAAATTTTGCTCGATTTTCGTGTACATTTTATCTTCATTGTAGATTAGCTTCATATAGCTAATATTTTGTGAAAACTAGTTTAAAGTGAATCCAAGGAGGGACACGACCAGTGGTGTGAATAAAAGGTTCAAGTCATGTAGTGAGATTTCTAGGCCTCAACAATACTTGCAAGGACAAGCTGATCAACCATGGATTTTCCCCTGGATAATATCAAATCGCAGCTACAACAAGCTCCAATGCAGACATGTTAGCTCACCATTTGTAGAAAAATGAGACCAGTGCTGTAGATATCAAATCTGTCTGGCAAATTCATCTGTTTTAAGGAAAGCCATCAGAGCTAGAAAAACATTAAAATCGAAACAAAAGGAAACTCGATGTACATTAGTCAATCTTAACAGTCTCATGGTAGACGTCACACCTGCCATAAAACTGGGGAAAGAGCAGTAGCCACTGGAGCTGAAGGTGCAGAGGGAGTTTGTGTGCTCATAATGTATTGTTCTGGTGCAGTGTACCTAAGAAGTGACGAACCAATGAGAATTGTCACATTTTATAAGAGGCACAGTGTCAAAGCAATCTAGGAAATCAGACAACTCAAAACAACCATCTAGAGAGGTCAAAGCACAAGAGAAAAATTCACATTATTAAGATATGGAAACCATGGCACATCCACCACTTCAGTCAGGTATTGATTTTCAAGAAATGCACAATATTTCTTGTTTAAAGTTTAACAAAGCCATATCAATCCGTATTCTGTGCTAATATGATCATCAGAAGACATAATTACCACCACCATGATTCTTCCTTATCAGAATTAACAAGGTGTCATCACTAACTCCCTCCCTCGTGGTTTTAAGGGCAAAATGAGAAAGGTGGCATAAAGGATAAACGTAGCTAACTCCATTCAGTGAGAAAAGGTATTAATGTTGTTATGTCACCCTTGGCCGGAAATTCAGAGGAGAAAAACAACTTCGAAGGCATGTTGCCTCTTGGAAGAAAAGGAGATCCTGCATCTCATAGTCATTAATCTCTATGGTTGAGACAAGGGCATATCGCCAATGGCAATCAAAATCTACAGTGTAGTTAGATGCAATCTTTGCATGTCCTATGAACATGGAAAGGATTACAATTGTATAGTACCAAATTCTCGTACAAATTTTTTTGACATGCTTATACAAGGCCAGCATTCAACAGTACTCGCGTGTTTGAGGACACTCGAGATTGAAAAAGTTACGACCAATAGGTTCAGTAAAACCATTCATAAGGAGATCATCATGCTGTCGGCGTGCAGATGATAACAAACCTAAGCACCCTTGCTCCCAAAAATTGAACCTTCAACATGTTTAAACAAATCTTAGACATTTTGCTGAGACCTGAACAGCATGGACCATTTTACTCCATTACATCATATAATATGTCTCCAAATGAAGTAATTAGCTCTGTTTATACAAAACATGTAGTTTCAGGACTGAAAAAGTAAAATGTAAGATGAGTTTCTGTAGTATTGATGTGTATTTTTGTCAACATTGTTCTACACGCATGTCTTCTCCACACAGTCGTGATCTAAATGCTGATGAGATACCACATTTAAAAAATGTGAAGGATGATACCTTGGATCTAATAGAAATTCCTTCGGAATATAATTGATACCCACTCTGAGATCTGCTGCTGCTCCAAGATCAATTATCTTGAATGTACGAGCACCTGCTCAATTTCAGGGGTAACATGTTGTGGTTTATGAATTATCAATTTTTTTCTACAGAAAAGAAACACAATCAAGCTGCTGTTACCATGCTATCAATACCTTCAGAAAATATAATGTTCTGTGGCTTAATATCCCTATGCACAATGCCTGTCGAATGAAGACCATCCAGGCAAAAGAGGATCCGTCTCATGATAGTTTGAATGATCCTATTCTCCCTTTCAATTCCTTTCGGCAAGTCCTGTACCTCCCCGAGAATCATTGTTTCTACCTGACAAGAAAATTAATCATAATTGAAGATGGCAATCGAGGACATAGACTGATCTACAAAGGTGAGGTTGAATGTAAATCTCAAACAAATAAAGCACAAAGCAATGGACAGAAGATAATAGATGAAATGATCAGGTATTACGACCATCTTCCTTTGTTGAATACCTAGCCACACAAAATTTAGATAAGTGTCTCAGATTCCACGTTCAGTGCCTCAGTAGCCATGCCATTGATTGCAAAGAAAGAAATTATCATAAACATGACTATGTGTAGCGCAACTTCAATTGCTACATCCTATGCTTATAAGAAAAATTGTCGAGTTCTAACCAAAAGAATGAAGAAATTGCAATATATGAAGACAGTAAGAGGTGAAAGGAAGAGCTACTAACATTATAAGGGAACTCTTTGCTCTGCATCAAATCTGCAAGTGTTGATTCCCCTTCAAATCGCCATATAAGCCAATATTCTCCTCCTTTCTTCGAAGAATTCTGGAACCATTTTCATTTTTTTGGGGACAACTTCAGAGAGAAGATACAATGCGGACTAGCAATGAAGCAAACTTGTGAAAGGTGTTTTCTCTATTTTTATATTTCCACGCGAATTAAAAGTAAGCCCACAATTAAGCAAAGAATCTATATAGAGCAAGACCTCTAGAAAGCCATATAGAAAATCGGCACAGCTACTAGCACAAGCTCTTCGGACACGTTCATTCATCCAAATCTCGACCGCACCGTATTCAGTAGCCTTCTTCAATACCAAGTCACCTTCCTTCTGTTCAAGAGCAAGCAGCAAGAAGGAATTAATACATTGAATTCACACCCACAACAGCATAGAGCCCATTTCACCTCTGCCACTGTGAAGTGTAACAAGTCTGCACACTCACGTGCATGCCGGCACTTCTTAATCACCTCAAATGATACAAAAACCCAAAATAATTTCCACGATGATCAGCAAGCGACTAATAAACAAGAGCACCCAACTTTGAGCCATCACACAGCAACAACCTGAAAGCTCATACCTAACACTTTCTTTTGGGCCCTAAAATTAGGACAGAGACTCGATATCAGGAGTCCCTGTAAGAGCTATACTTACATTTGAAGAAGACTTCTTAGCCAGTGAAACCCTATAAACCACACCAAAGGCTCCCTCGCCCAACTTCTTCCCCAGCACGAAATCATCCTGTTCAAACACGAAACCGAACTTCATTTAATCAATTACTCAAACCCCACCAAAATCGCAACTTTCTTTAATTTCCAACACCACACTGACCTTCCTGAAGGTGGGTCTGAACAATCTCTCGGCAAAAGCAAGAAAAAACATGTCAAAGAACCCAGGAGCCACACCAGGAGTCGCCCACAGGTAAGAAAGAGCCCCAAGAGCCAAGACCGCACCTGGGGCCGTGAGCGTCAGGCCACTGGACTTGGGGAGTGTGCTTCGGTAGATGATGTCCCCACACTCCATGACCGTGCACGGAAGGCCCACGCCGACACCCAGAAACAGGTCCTTGACCGCATCGATCAGGTGGCCTCCCGAGGCGAGAACGAGGGCTTTGGGGCTTGAAACGAGGGTCCTGAGGGGAAGTTTGATGGCGAGCTTCTTGCCCAGAAACGGGGTCGTCGTTGTATTCGAGGATGGCTTGTGAGACTGGAGCTTGATGGTGGAGGCCATGCCGACTCCTCCTGACGCTGCGACAATGGCCATGCCTGTGGGAGGCAGAGGCTGTGCGCGCGCGGTGTCTTGGTAGAGAGGACTGAGAAAGCAGGTTGCTCGCCCAAAGAAGAATGCTGGCTTCAAATTGAGACCACAAGTATTGATTTTTCTTCTTTTTTTCCTGGGGCCAATTTTGGGCGCGTAACGACAGTTATTTCCGGTAATATTTGTGGAGAGGAAGAGGAGTGGATGGAGGAACATTGTACGCCACAAGCTGTACGTTTGACATAAGATGGATGGGGTTGGGCTTTTTGTCGGGTGCTATAATATCTTTTGGATATCGTGCTCCAATGTCTTCTTTCTTGTCTTTACAGATGTAGCAAATTCAGCAACACAAACAGTAGTTTATGCAATACACTGTCTGTAAACTCATTTCCAACATCTTTGTCAGACCGTTTCTGGATGACTTGATAAATAAATCCTAATCAGGTCAGCTTTATGCCCGGAAGGAGAACTCACGACAGTGTTATTATAGTTAAGGAGATTCTCTGCAGGATGGAAACATACCAAAGAGAGAAAAAAGAGAATGCCCTGTGGATATCCTGAGTCATCTTATCGAAAGGGAATGTGAGAAAGGTACCTGGACAACTATAGGAACGTCCAGAGGAGGTCCTGCCTTCTCTCATTTGTTTTCTGCTGATGACTTATTTCTTGACTGCGGTAGCTAGCGATGCTGGTTGTCAGAGAGTAATTGACACTTTGAATCGTTCTGGTGAGATGTCTGGACAGAAAATAAGTTTGAAAAGTCCCAAGTTTTACTTCTCTAACAATCTCGCTGAGCAGGAAAGGGATGGAAGGCTTAAACTCTGCTGATTTCAGATTCATTATCAACAAAACGAGAGTTCAGCTGGCTGGATGGGGTGCTGAACTGCTGATAGATGATCTACAGTGGGACGTGCTGTTTATGATCAAATCCGTGAAAGAGGCAATCCATCCAACATCCTCCAGGGCACCCAGTTAATAAAAGAGCCTTTTAAGAACGGGAAACATCGATCATTCTTTGAGGCTACGATGCTGCAAACGTAATTGAGGTCGTGACTGCATGTCATACCAATAGAATCTTGGCAGTGGGCTCGTCCTTCAAGACGGCCTTAGTTAAGCATTTGAGAGGCCTAGAGGAACGACCCGCTATCGGTCTTTCAGTCATCGAAATCCTACATCAGATACACGTTCAAGTTCATCCGGAAGCTCCTCAGACCCGGGGCTCAAGTTGGCCAAGCCCACGATGTCTAGATACATACCATATACAGGTTCGACCCAAAGTTTCAGCCTTCAGGTCGGGTGCTCTCAGCGAAAGCCATTGAGGTCTTGGAACGTGTACTTGGGCCATGCGTGGACCTGCCTAGTTATAGACACCATGCGTCTGCTTCGTGATTTTTCGTTTCTTCGGGAGACAAAAAAGAACCCTCAGTGGCTGCGCTGGCTTCGGGCTCCCCTCCCCCCACGAAGGGTAGGAGTTCGAATCCCAGCGCTGGCGTTAGGGATTCTTAAGCGTGACGTCGTGGTGGTGGGTCCTGCGCTAGCGTCACCCCGGGTTTACCTCCTCGGCTGTCGGCCGTGCGGGGGGGTTCCCGGGTTATCAAAAAAAAAAAAAACAAAAAAAAAGAACCGGTAGAGTCTAAACTTCTGCAGAATGTTCTCCTATCACATTCTCAAACTTCATTTTTACCAACTGGGTCTGTGAACAAGTTCAAGGACAACCGAGGAACAACTTCAATGATAGTGCACTCTCTCTCTACCTCCCTCCCTCCCTCCCTCTCCCTCTCTCTCCTTTGATATTCTACTATTATTTTTCGATGTTATAATATGAAGAAGGGGGTCCTTCATCACATGCTGCGCCCAGAAAGCATGCCTTAAAATGCTGGAAAATTGAAGGTGAGGGATCTCCTCCCTCTCTCTCCCAATCCCATCAAGCGTTGGCCACTGGGGCTGGAAAAAACAAGTCGAATGAAATATAAAGAAGGGACAACGGCACCAAAAACTTTAAATTATGCTCACTATGAAATATTTATCATAAAAATATACTTGCGTGGCATATTACTCTCTAGTAAAATTCTATCAATAAAAACTGTTAAAACTTTGCCTACGTTGACGCAAAAAAGCAATCAGTGTTGACATAACCAAGTTATTTTAGATGAAAAATCATTAAACGGCACATTGATTAAAAGTAAATATGTTCTATGGGTACAAGTTTAAGATATTTTTTATGTTACGAGGAAAAAATTACTATAAATATGTCGTAGGGAGCACAATTTGAGATTTTTAATGTCACGAAAAAATTCAAGATAATTAAGAGTTACAGTGAATATAATTTGAGATTGTTTTTTAGCTGCCCTCCCCCAAAGAAAGAGGAGACGAAGCATCCTTGATTAATACCCTGCCTTGTCATCTTCAACTCTGCCAATTTATGTGGCTCACGAAGGACGATCCCCACTTCATAGCCTTGAATTGATGCCACGGAACTACTTCTAGTACTGAGGCTAAAAGCAAAAAGTGACTCTCCGGCGGACCAAACTATGTTGCTCGATGCCCCTTCCACGGGCCGGGCCCGACCTGAAAATTAAAGGCAAAAGTTTAACAAAAAAAACAAGGAAAGGACGGGCGGGCGAAACGTTTCTAAGAGAGAGTATTTGAACTCTCGACACACGCTCCCGAGCGGGCCCTTTTGAAACTAATAACCATCACTTGTCTTACCCGATGGTCCCGATCGTTGTCGTAGCTCCACATGTTGTCGAGATCCGATCGTCTCGAACCTAACTCGACCGGCAAATTATGATATTAACGGGGACATTATTTCGTATCCCCAACAATTATTAGCAGAAAGGATACGAATTAGCTGGTAATGGGATGGTGTCCATTAGATTCTCAGCCCACCTCAGCAAGCGAAAGCATAGCCGCTGCAAAATTGGTCCGAAAGGAACTCGACAGAGACCACGGAGAAGAAGGTCCAAATCAAATACGGCTGAAAATCAATGCGTTGGCACATCGGGTCTTATTGTACTAACTAAACTAAAATTAGTTTGTAATTTACTGAGGGTTTTTGGTTCTGTCCCTTTTGTGCTTGTCCTTCGCATAATTCCTTGTGCATCATGTCACGGGTGAGAGCTCGCTCCTACCCACTTCTAACCGGGACAACTACCGGAATTATATAATTTTCACATCATCAAATTTTTATTTTTTTAAGTTTACTGTAAGTTTTAATTGACTGAACAATCTTTCTTTTTTTTTTTTTTCTTTTTTTGCATTCCGACGAGCCTTCGACGAATTTCTATACGGTGAAGGTGCTGGGGACGCTATAGCTACCGGAGAGAGAAATCTCGGCTTGTGCTCATCAATGATGATGATAATGCGAGATTTGGTAATCAGCTGCCGGTTGTGCTTTGACGCTATGACAAATCCATTCTTGTGGAACGAGCGATTTTTAGCAAGCTATATTAAATTGTTTAATATTTCAAATTGATTTGTTTCGTGGGATTTGCATTTTTATCTTGAAGTTATGTACTTCTCTTTCGTATCAAATGAAAATTTTCCTTCCGACTAAAAAGAAAACAAATTCTATTGCCTGGTTGAGACTTGACAGTACATGTATATATATAATTGAAGGATGAGACTTTTTTTTATTTTACACTATTGATTCCTATTTTTCCTTTGAATTTCAGCTCTGCCCATCTAATTTGGATCCTTTTGCATTGCACTCAGTCGCGTGAGTGTTCTATTCTGCTTATTTAAAACAGATTATTCTGGTTTTTTAAGGGAGAAAACCTTCGATTAAGAGGTCTTGAACATGAAATAGCCCGTGCGTGTGCGATTTCCTTGTACACGACATGGAGATTAGACAACCAAAGTTTCTCAGCATTTGATTAATCACTATTAGTCCAATGATTCTAATTATGGGATTTGATCCTAGCTGTTCTAAATTTGCGCAGTTAGAGAAATTAATCCCTCAATTCTATCCTGAATAATAATAATAAATAAATAAAAGCTATCCTTTTTCGAGGAAAAAAAAAAGTTATTCGAGTAAACTTATAAGGCAATTCCAATCAATAGATAAAATCCGAAACCAATGAAGAAATGACAAACTGGCGGACAGTAGTACAATAAACTTATAAGGTAATTCAAATAGGTGCAAAAATAGGAAAATGAAGTGTTGATCCGCTAAACCAACATGTTTAAAGGCCAAAATCAACCTCAAAAAGGTTTTGTATTAGATTGCGATATAGTATTCAAAATGAATTAAGCGGCTCAACTCATAAAAAAAAAATTGAGAAACGGGTATGACATGCGAGCACCACTGTTAATTTTTTTTTTTTTGGTCTATTCACTCTATACGAGTCTCTACATATCCTAATTTTCTGCTAAATATTCGGCATCGGCATCTCATATTGAGCTTAAGATGATTAGTACTCGATATACCTTTAAAAATAGAGAGACCCAATTAACAAACCCATCGGGTGATTAATGGTGAGCTTAGTGGGAGATTAATTGGCGAAAGTCCACGTGTTGACCATGTGATTTCCCCCCGGACTTGGGGCTGCCGATCTAGCAAATCATGCCCGTTTGCATGGATGCCACGTCATCGGGGAGAGCACGGACCATTTTCTAAGCCTTTGTTCGGCACATGAAGATCCCCCAAAAAAAATAAATATGTTAAATAATAAATAAAAAGGGAAAAGGGAAATTCACGCTTTGCAAATGTCTCAGCTGTCAACCCTCGTCATATCCCATTAAAAAATCCACTCCCTTTGGTTGGACTTCTCTTTCTTTATCGAATATCATTTATAATAATAATAATAATTATTAAAAATCGGATTCCTTTTCTTTATTCCTTCTCTTTCTCTCTTTATTACCCGAATGGCTAATCTGATGCAAGCCTGACGTCTTGAATGTGGAAACTCCCGTCCTCTGGCTCCAAGGAAAAAACAGAAGAAATAAAATGGAAAAGAAAATGACAAAACAAAATATCAATTCCATTTAAATTCCTCACCATCGCTTTTTCCAGGGTTCACGAGATGGGATGGACCGTGTTCCTTTCACCACTCCTCCTCTCTTTTATTCCTTGCTTGTAGGAACGCGGCACAGTAAATGATCATGTGAA